TTTCAGCCGTTGAAGCTCGTTGATCTTAACCCGGTAGACAATGTTCTTCACATAACTCCACAAGAACAAATCCACTGGGGTTAAGTCTGGCGACCCAGGAGGCCAAGCGATTGGTCTACCTCTGCCAATTTATATCCCAGCCATCTCTCTGTCCAGGTGATTCCTAACATGGTGACAAAAATGTGGCGGCGCATGCCCGTAAGCCGGGTATGAAAAAACTTTCAGTTTTCCTTTCCGATGACATAAACCGGATACGTGAATGACAATTAGTTTTCGAGATATATATTTTGTATTTTGGATACCTTTCACCCTGACATCCTATACATACATTATAAAGGTGCGTCCACATTACTCGTGCTCGTGCTACAGCCTATACACACTACGAGTAAATATACGGATCCTCATGATATAGTGCTTAATTACTTAAGCACAGGGACAACTTTACCTTTTACATTGTAACATGTACCCGTATCACGTGTCTCTGTATCTCTTCCAAGAACTTAACTGCCCCGTTATGTTGCCATGTTTAGATTAGTGCTGTGTTGCCTAATTACGGGTTACATGTTTGCGAATTTCAAGCACCCAAATTAGGAACCTTGTTTCATACTGTCTTCGTGTCTTATTCATTCTTAGAGGGCTGATATTGAAAGAGAGGGATAGGCCATAGACTCCACGAGCAGTGCATTGCAGTGCAGGTTGTAAAAGTCAAGAAAATGGGGTTTCTTGGGTTTCCTGGACGCTTACCTGTGGGAGTGGTACACTCGATGAGGAGTCGAATTTGAATTCTGAATGGAAATCGTTTTCTTTGTATAAGGACATAGCTTGATATTAACTTCTGCTGAGAACTTTGTAATTATTTTTCACATATTTACGTTAATATAATGTTCTTCAAACATGACAGCATTTTCTTTATAAAAAATAAAACTCCATATCGTGCTGTACACCTGTTTCTCTTCTTCTATTTTTAATTGCATTATGGTTATTTGTTATCGACTAAATTTCCCAAAATATTACGTTACCTATCCGAAATAAGGAACCGCCCTTTTCCAAATTGGGCTACCATTTTCGCAGAACCTTCCTTATAACTTTTTGGGCTTTTTAAGTTGTTTAATAAACACTGAATCTGGGATCACAGTATGTACTAATTCTCGAACTAGACTTATTATTCTGCCTGAATTCAACAAAGTATTAATGGGTCACAATTCCGTCAAAAAAGGGCTTTTACCTTAAGGATTCGAAATATGGCGCCTTTACCTTATCTCAGGCTGGGTTACGATAGCTTCCTTCTTTTTTGTTTCATCTTTAACTAATCATTCTACTTATTGCTCGACCCTCCACAGTTGTCAGTGCGACGGAATATGTTGCCATACCTCTTGGATATTCCTATACGCCTGATGTATTCAGCAGTTGCTAGAATTCCTTGTCGTCACAGCTGTTGTTTGGTCTTCTTTTTTTTTTGTCATCGTGGGTATTACATGACCAGAACGGTGTACTGTCAGACGACAAGCAGTGATATTCGGAGACTCTGTTACTTACGTAGTACGCATGCGCACGCTTAGACCAATAGAAGACCCCCGAACGTCAAGTCGAAGGAAAACAAGTGCGCAGATGCATACACACCTTACAGCACGAAGTTCTGTAGAACTGTTCCCCTTTGCGGAAGTACGTAGACGCTACGCCATGAAAATGTATGGCGGAGTTGGGGTCTATCTCCCCCGTGTAAATTTACATACAAGAATATAATTCAATTTAGATAATGGGATAATAAACTGTAGGGCTAGTTTGTAGATGGCCATCGAATTCTGTTCGAGTAAAATTATTGGATTTCAGGTTTTCATAGTGGTGATTATGAAGAGCATTTTTTTATTGCTAGTGGGGTGGGACTAAGTCCCTTGTACTGCGGCCACTTCTGGCCTATTGTACCAGCCCCAGATGATAGGTGAGGGTGATTGTGGAGCAATTGGTGGAATGAAGATTGGCAGGGGAAACCGAGGTACTCGGAGAAAACCTGCCCCAGCGCCACTTTTTCCACCACAAATCCAACTTGACCAGACCCGGGATCGAACCCGGGCCGCCGCGGTAGGAAGCCAGCGCGGCTCTGTTATGAAGAGCATGATTTTGTACATTGTCTGGTTAACGACGCTGTTAATAGCTCGGGCTCTGGTTCTGTATATAGCAGCGCCACAGTACGCGATGGCGGGAATCAACGAACTGGAAAGTACTTGAAAGGAAGCGGTCATACGGTAACTTGAAGTGCTAACCTGGCATTTGCCTGGACGGACGGAGGAAAACCAAGAGAACATCAATCAAGAGAAGTCAGTGCCTCGTCCCAGATTCGAACCAGGCCCTTCCCGAATACAAGTCAGAAGCGTCACAGCTTGAGTCAGCTTGCTCGGTATATTTCTGAACCAAATACCTGATGTTAGAACCGCCCCTATCAGAGTTCCTGGCAACATATCCAGAGGTCCCGGTTTCAATTCCCGGCGCTACCAGATTTTCTGAGGAATAGTGGATCTGGAAAGGGGTCTACTCAGCCTCGTGAGGATAACTGAGGAGCTATTTCAAGGAAATAGCGGTTCCGGTCTAGAAAGCCGAGATTAACGGCCATGAGGATCCGTTGCGCTGACCACGTGGCACCCTCTATTAGCAAAAGTTGGCACTAACTTCGCCAACAAACAGCGGTTGCTCGGTCGGTATAGTTCGCTTGCGGACTACAAGCCACAGAGTTTGTTTTTGTTTATACCTAACGTTAATACGAGTAAGTGCATAAACTGAACGCACTGCAGCGTATGAACCTCGTAAACTGAGGGAAGAACATGAATCGTGGCCCTACAGCCCTTTGTTTGGCCCCGGCCTCTTCTTCAGTACACAGAGAGTAGGACTCCTTAGACAAGTGATCAGCCCGTCGCAAGGCCGCTACCTACACAGGACGACACAAACACAGAATAAACGCACACACAGACATACATGCCTTGAGTTGGATTCGAACCCACGACCCCAGTGTTCGAGCCAGTGAAAACAGTTCACGCTTTAGACCGCGTTGCCTCTGTGACCAGCAGACCGTGGGTGTGTGACAGCAACGACGGGGGTTCTTTGTCGTCTTTATTATTTGTCTAATATACATCAAGGGGGAATGAGATGGGCGGAAAATGTAGCATGCGTCGAAGGAACTGATAAATTTGTACAAAATATAAACTTCTCAAGGAGTTAGTAAACATCGGTGAGTACAGGTCAGTACCATATGCTTTAGTACGGGTTCTGCTTGGCTATATGACGCTAATAAAATATGATCCTAATTTTACGAAATAAGATGCTCATAATGTTTACAGTAGTCGTAAAGTAGTTCCTATCTTAAGCCAGCTGAATCCAGTCCACTACTTCACACACATATCTCTGCTGTTCATTTCTGTACTGCACTCTCGCCTAAGCGCAGGGCTCTCAAATGGTCTGTTGCCTCGCAAATATTTGAGCGAAATTTTGTATGTGACTTCAGAGATTGTCACGGCTGTGAGTACGAAGATCGCTGTTTCGGGAATGTAAGTCCATGTAGTGTAGCATAACTTTTGCGAAATTTCGGAGTAACGTGTTTCCTCCATCTAAAGGGCATGGCAGTTCTTGGATGTCGAAAACAATTTTGTAATTAGGGCAATCATGGAACATTTAATAGCGTCTTAATGAGAAGAAAGTAACACTCCGATAGAAGTCAGGAACAACTCGTCTTCAGACAGCTATGCAACTGCCGTTCCCCGATATAATTAGTCTTAAATGATCGTGTTAAGGAGGATGTACTGGGAAAGCATGTACCAAGCACGGGGGAAAATTGCGTATAAAGTTTTTGCCGGGAAAGCCAGAAGGAAATAGATCGCTAGGAAGAGATACTCGTAAGTTAGAGGCTAACACTAAAATGGGTCCTAGAGAAATAGGATGGAGTGATATATAACTGTATTCATCTGGCTCAGTACAGAGAAATTTCTCGAATTTTGTGAACATTATAATGAACATTCGGGTTCCATTAAATGTTGGGAAATTTTTAAACAACTGACTGTTGGCTTCTCAAGAAGGACTCAGCTCAAAGGAGTTAGTTTTATGGCAAACAAGTGCACTCACTATGACTAGGAGCCGGGATAACGCAGTCAGTTTAGCGACTGGCTACGCGCTGGACGACAGAGGTGTCGAAGTTCGAGTCCAGGTGGGGGAAGACTTTTCACTTCTCCACGTCGTCCAGACCGGCTCTGGAACCCACCCAGCCTCCTAACCAATGGGTATCGGGGGCTCTTTCCCCGGAGTAAAGCTGACCTCTCACCTGCAGCTAGTGCCGAGGTCAAGAGAATGTGNTGCAGTCAGTTTAGCGACTGGCTACGGGCTGGACGACAGAGGTGTCGAAGTTCGAGTCCCGGTGGGGGAAGAATTTTCACTTCTCCACGTCGTCCAGACCGGCTCTGGGCCCCACCCAGCCTCCTATCCAATGGGTATCGGGGGCTCTTTCCCCGGAGTGAAGCTGACCTCTCACCTGCAGCTAGTGCCGAGGTCAAGAGAATGTGGATCTCTACATCCATCCCCCATACGCCTCAATGGCGTAGTGCTAAGTTGGTTACGCACAGGGACAACTTTACCTTCACTTATTATAACGACATTCCGACGTATGTAATTTAAATATGAATGAATTATTTACCGTCGAATGAGTTGACAAGATTGGGCGTGATAAACAGGAAGGTTACCTGGCCTCTGTGTATATTAAGCTGGGGAGAGCGAGGAATTTCACAAAATTCTTGTCAGAATAGCCAGAGCTTTGGTGTGGATTCGGGTAGAAAACCTCCAGAGTATAAGCCTGAATCATCCTGTCGGGCCACTTTCAAGTGACTGAACATTGCGTATGAAGTGATCCGAAGTTTTGAAGTATCTAGTTTACATTCTATTTGGGCGGGTGTGTCTACATGTCACGAGAGGTCTGGTCTGCTAACTACGGGTAGGCTATGTTTTGAATTTTGTTACATCACAGATGGAAGGAATCATATTTATCATTTCAAATAGATTCGCAATACAAATTTACACAAATCTACTTCAGTCGAAAGAGACGAAGACTGTAGCAACAGGAAGAACACGAAAACGACGGACATTTACGATTGAAGGATGCAATGCTCTCGGTAAGGAGATGTACGTTGTTAATATTGAGGAGAACTGCTGTCTGGGCGAAGCTGTTTCGTTTGCATGTCGTCATATGCGATTGTAAAGACGCTCTTCTTTTCCAGCAGCTGCTGGTTCCGCTTCCGCCTGCCAGCTCCACCCATCAGCAGAGACGACATGGCGATCCCAGAGTCCATATCATCATCAAACACAGTCACCTTCAAAATCTGCTCCTCTGCTTTTTCCATCTCTTTATCGACTTCTCCCTTTACTATTTTCCGTACACCTCGACCTTCGGTCAATGTCTCTTGCTTCTCATTTTGTCTGTTTTTTGTCACTTTTGGATCAGTTGTACTGTTTTGACCGGGCTTAAGTTTCTTCTTCTGTTTATCTTTCTTTTTCTCTTCTTCCAACTTCTTTCTCCTCTCCCGTTCTTCTCTCTTAGTCTTATACCACTCCATATATCGTGAACCCTTTTTCTGCGCCGGAGCAGTCTTTCCTACGTCGTTAACTTGGTTTAAAGATTTCGCTTTGCTAGCTACAGTTTGTTGCTGCGACAGATGCTGCTTCTCAATTCGGCCAGGTTCAGAAAGGGACCCTCTCCTGGACGATAGTCTTTCCTTTTTATCCAGTTTCATATCGTCCGGAACAGACCTGCGACGGGATTTCCTGCTAGATGCCAACGCATTGATTCCTGTTTCAGACTTTGCGCTACGAATGAGAGTTTTATCTCTTCCATGAGCAAATTCCGACATTGCTCCGTTCTCATTGCCTCCTGCTTCAGCTGAGCTTCCCTGCTCCGATGGGCGCCCACTTGAGGTGTCGCTAGACGCAGCAAGAGTGGCAGTTCGAGCTCGATCTTTCTCAGAAGCAGAGTCATGTCTTATATCTGAAGCATTCCTCTTCTGGAAACTGTTTCCACGGGTGTCGCTATTTTCAAATCCCACATGACGCATTTTTGAAGACTGCAATCTACTGTCCTCAATATTTGCACCCCTCACGTCCCCCATAGGACTCTTGGGATGTTGAAGTCTACCGTAGTTATCAGTCCTCTTATTGTGTGATACATACTTCTCATTGGAAGGCGATCGTTCCTCAAGCGAGTCTGTCGGTGTTTCTTCTTCAAAGTCCTCCAAGTCACTTTGAAGCTGATTCGGCAAAATCGTCACCTCCATTTCTCCGGAAGCAGTAGCAACTTTAGCTTTGTTGTTCCGGCGCCGCAGCATGCTCGTTTTATTCTCCGAATAATTGCCGAATGAAACGTGACCTTGTTGCCGTTCGGCAGCGTCCAGTGCACTCTCAGTCTCTTCCAGTATTGGGGTCTTGATTTTATGCCCTTTACCAGGCACAAGAAAGCCACTCTTCCCTCCTACCCTCCTCGATCTCAAGTCTCTTCTGTGAAACAAACTGCGTTTCCGTTTACTTCGACGCTTTTTGTTCCAAAATTCACGTATAGCTTTTCCTAAAGAATGTGAACCCACGCCGTCATCTTGAATGAGCTGCCTTTCTTGATCTTCCTCCTCTGTATAGGAGTCGTCATTGTCGCTCCTGGCACGTCTCCTGGGTGGCCTCATGAGGTGAAAGGGCTCGGTTTGCGTGCTGGAATCCACATCTGTCTGAGTCGCCATGGTGGTCTGCCCAGGAAGGCTCTGTGTCTCGATGTTTTCGCCAGTTGTTGCTAGGAATTGCTCGTGCTGGCGCTGCGCGACGAGAGCCTCAGTGAGCAGCAAGGTGTTGTTCAGTCGCGCTTCTTCCTCTAACAGTCTCCTCACGAGCATGTCTTGCTGACGCAGTCTCGCCAGCGGCCCTGGGTCAGAACCCTCTTCTTCTGCTTGCTCTCTGCTGCCATTATTACGCTGGTCCTCCATAAAGCGTTGCATTATGATCTCCTTACCATTGTCGGCCCTCACATTATTATGTTGTCGAGGTGGAACAAGTGTCATTGGTCTCTGTTCAGGTTCAGGTGCAACTTTAGCGAACTCTTCCTCGTCCAGTGACCTCCCTCGTGTCACAAGTCGCAGTATTTCGGCATTCCCATCGCGGATGTAGAATTGTTCCCTTTGGGAAGCCGCCACTTTGCTCAGATTTGCTGCAGTTTCTTCGTCTGCACGCGCTTGCCCTCTCCGCTGGAGCACCAAGCGGTATTCCCGACCTTCATTAACAATATTCCTGTTCGCGTCGTTGCGCCTGTAATCGTTACCTCTGCCCAGGTCTGAACCCCTTTCTACTTCATGCCTCCTCATAGAATCAGTGTCGTGGTCTTCCTCAGCATTGATTCGAAGGTCACGATGGGGTATTCCTCCTCTGACTTGTCTGTGGTCTATTATCTGACTTGCTCCCTCGATATCCTCAAGGTATACACCGCGATGTCGAAAGTCGGCCTGGCGTTGGAGATCCTGAAGCTCGCGGGTGTAGATGACAGCGGGTCCATCTCGGACGCGAATGTACTGAGCGGGCAGGCTGTGCAGTGAAAGCCCGTCTTCGGGTCCTCTCATGCCCAGTGTGGCGGCTACAGCAGGCCCGTTGATGTCGTAAGCCAGTTGTCTGTCGTCCGGCCCAGTTCTGAACTCTTCGTGCTCCTTATTGTGTACATTCCGTCTGTTGAACCGCCAGGACTGATGCCTCTGCTGACGCTGATCGGCACTCCAAGCTTCTCTTCGATGTCCCGCCCCTTCGGCTGGTAACACAATAAACACATTCTGTATTATTTTGCGAGGTCCTTATCACAACGCAACTAAGTACCTGACTTTGGAAAAACAGACACGCTCAGATGAGCATGTATGTACTTTTTACCTTGATCACGAAAGCCCGCCGCTGAACCCTATTTGAGCCAATTGAGTCCAGTCAAGGGCCACGGTCCCTATTACTTTAAAATATATTTTGATACAAAATTTTAACTTGCATGTAGATGTCCCAAGTTGTCTCTATCGCTCAGATTGTCAAATACAAATTCTTAAAAATATTTATTATTTTAAAAAGTACAAACATATAAAAACTGTATGATTTATTTCTCGTTTTAATGGATTTAGAATTTTATTTTTATTCCTGAGGAAAGGAAATCTTTTCAAAATGTGAATGTTTATATCTCACAGAGGTGAAATAGCAAGTGACTGGAAGAGACCGCGCAATTGAGAGCTTCCTGATTTGGGTTCCTAGGCAAATTTTATTAGAATGATTAAATCAAAGAGGATGAGAAGGGCGGTGCATGTAGCACGTGCGCGAGAGATGAGAATTTCATACAATTTGTTGTTTAAGAGAAGAATTGGGAGATCAGGTGTAGATGAGAGAAGAAAATTAAATTGGATCTCTATGGAGCGAAAAACACGTAAAAATATGGAATGGATTCATCTGACTCAGGATAGGATGCAGTTGGGGCTTCTATGAACACGGCAGTGAATCTTCGGTTTGCATAAAATAAACCAGGAAATTGCATTGCGCGCTGAGCAACTGTCAGTTTCTCAAGAAGTAACTGCTATATGAAGGTCGTTACTTATTTCTTATAATTGCTGCTCGTGTAAAGAAAATCTCCTCAACAGACGATGACATGTAATCAGTTCTGTAAATGCGCACGCTAACTTAGATATGCACACACATGTAGGCTATGCAGGCAAAGTGGTGTTCTCTACGAGAAGTGGGACAGAAACTGCAGATGACCCTGGCCTTACATTCCAGCGTCCCACCCAAATAACTATTTCAATATGGAACTCGTCTGTTATACGTTACTATTCTGGTTATGAATGTTCTATTTCTAACTCTTTTAGTTTACTACTTGTGTAAGTTCATCTGCAATTCATTCTCGTCATACTGTCAGTAGTAACATAAAAATCGACTCGATTCGAGAGTTCATTCGTCCTTAGCGTTTTCTAGATGACCCTCACGTAAATCAGAACCAAGTCAGTCCCAGTGGAAGAGAAGACACTTATGGTGCAGTAAGGAATGGAGCGAGTCTTAGACAGTCACTGACTGAGATCTATTATAATTGGTTGTAATTGTAAAGAAGTGCCAATAAATCCAATCCAGAACCCGCTATTGTTAGTCACGGAAACCCGGACACGTGACAATACAACAGTGGATCAATGGCAGGGTTATCCGTGGAAACCATGGCTAGAGATGTCAGATGTCACAATTTCACGACGGACAGTAGGCAATATAACGGCGATGTAAATATGTAGTCACTCACCTTGCACGGCCTTGGTCTCCATGCCTGGGCCGTGGTCCTTTGCAAAGAGGTGCAGTCCGTCTACGGTCTGAGTGTCAACCTGGCTTCCTTTCCTGAGCCCGGCCGCATTAACAAGTATACATACATGCGTTAACATTGTCATGCCTGTGTGGCCACTGATTCCATTAAATGTATGCATTCCTTCTTATGAACGAGATATATCGTTTTAATCTGCCCATTCTTCATCTATAGCTGTGATCTCTGGTTCTCGAGAAACTGCTAGACTCTAACTATATCCGCGCAGTATCATGAACTCTGCGGAGCTTAGTCGTGTCAAGAATTTAGCAGTTAGGTAACGGGTCAGGTAATTTCCCTCCTCCTACGTACAAAACCTGAATATTCATTGCCGTGTCAACAGGATTTCTCTTATTAGACTCCATGTTTGAATACATTGATCAAATCTGCATTCTTATACACTGTTTCCTTAAACTTATTATTAATATTCCTCAATCCCAGGTTCTCACAGCAGAGATTATGAAGCGTTCTATCACAAGCGATGTCTTCTCTTTTAGTTTTCCTATCAGAATTCTCTCATCTCCCTCATACGTGTTACATAAGTACAAAAATTAATATAAATATATCTGTATCATCGTGGGCTCAAACCCATGTCCTTAGTGTCAAGTGTGTCATCAATTTATGATCAAGAATTCAAGAAATTTTCATTCATTTGTAATAAAACCCTAGTGTGATAATATGGAACACATCGAAAGGACAAGTATCTCAGCTCGGCATGACACAGGAACACAGATTCAACGTGACTTACTTGGGCTTAGCGTAGAGCGGACACCCTGGACAGATGCAGCACAGCAGCAGCAGCAAGATGATGATGACAATCAGAATTGCCAGAAACATGAGGATCCAGAAGAGGGCGCTTTCCGCTCGGCGATAAACTTCCTGAACACGAGTTCAAAAGGAACTGAATAATACCATATTTATTCCTTACAAACAGGATAAATAAGTTACAGCTTAGGATCTAACATTCTCTAAGATTTCAACAAAAGAAATTCCGTGGCCTCTAGTCCTCAAGCGAACTATATCGGCCGAGCGACCGCCGTTTGTCGGCGAAATTAGTGCTAACTTTTGCGGATAGAGGGTGTCACATGGTCAGCGCAACGGTTCCCCACGGCCGTTAATCTCAGTTTCTAGACCGGAGCCGCTATTTCCTTGAAATATTTCCTCAATTATCCTCACGAGGCTGAGTGGACCCCGTTCCAGACCCACTACTTCTCAGAAGATTTGGTAGCACCGGGAATCGAATCCGAACCTCTGGATCTGTAGCCAGGAACTCTGACCACTAGACTTCAGAGGCGGTTGTAAGACTTAAACACGTAATCGAAATATAACATTCTTCTAACTTCAAGAAAAATTTGGTGAAGAAATTTTCTGCCACTTACTGAATTCAACATTTCATGATTTTCTTCATATGAAGCCCTCATCTGAACCCATTTTCTGTGTAACTGACTCCAGTCCACTCCATGTTCTTCAGGATCCATTCATCTGCCTTTGTCTCGTAAATGCTGTATTACTTTCAGGCCCGCAGTTAAACTCTTTATTAATTTCTCGAGTCACTCATGCTTTTACATGGCATGCCAGTCTGGTTGTCCTCCGTTATACGTGTATGTCTAAGTAGAGCTCGATTATAATGTGATGGCACATGCGCAGAAGATAATTCTGGTGTATGGGCGGAACGGACGATTTCATAGTCTCTTGGAGCAGATAATGAGGATTGGAAAGGTCAGTTCTGTGCTGGCCGCCGAGGTGTGTGTGCGTGTGGGTGTGCGTGCGTGTGTTTGGCGTTGGGATTGTCCAGTAACGGGCTTGCTTACTCAGCTATCACGTTTCTTCTCCACTAAACCTTATTCGGGCAGATTTGTACCGTCACATAGTAATCGAGCACTACCGCACCTTTATTACATTTTGGGAGAGAGGTTTAAACTTCACGAATTCACAATCCTGTAGTGAAGAGCAGGTTAGAGTAGTCGGCTTCACCCTTCAGCTACTTAACCTCCGATGTTACAGCCCACTGTATCCACTGGATATGTGTACCGTACATGAATCCTTCACTCTCCCTGACTCACTCCGGCTGCACTTTCGCCTTGCCATTAGCAACACTTATATACTTAGGCCTATTTGTAGCTTAGCAGTCGGAATTACCACTGTCTCCTTCTCCTTGACAACGTCCATGCTCCTGTTACCCCGAAGTGCACTTTGGAACTGCGTCAGATCCACAGTGGGGTTGTCATCATACAGCACTCTGGCCGACACAACGGACCTGCGCAGAAGAGAGCTCACACGTAGCCATTACACTGCCTACTAGGTAACTATAACACCATGGAGACTCCTGCTTGATAAACCTCCAGTCAATCAGCTATGAACAGGAAGGTTCATTACCTTGTACACAAGAACCCTCCACCTGTCCCTATATTGAGCCAGATCAATCCAATACATGCCATCCTATCCTTTCTCTCTAAAATCCATTTAACATTGTCCCCCCACCTACGCCTTGATCTTCTCAGTAGTCTCTTTCCCTCTGGCTTTCCCACAAATATCCTATATGCATTCCTCTTTCCCCTATTCGATCTACATGCCCTGCCCATCTCATCCTCTTTGTTCAGGGCCACCTAGTCATTTTCACTTCCAATGCAGCAGGTACTTCCGAAACGTCGACTGACCCCAACCACATGATGCAAAGACCCAAGTAGAAATCAACGCTGAACCGAAATGAAAGGCTAAATAACCGGAACTTGCTTACATTCTTTGTGTGTGTGTGTGTG